ACTATTACAACGATTACGCTGCTAGTGGTGGCCGTATTCAGCATATCAATCCAGTCCTTAAAGAATTACCAAAGGTCAGCTCCGTAGCTGTACAGAAAGGAAATGTGCTGGAAATTGTTCCGTCGAATGTCCATACAGTGAACACAAAAGCCGAGTCGTCGAATATTGAAAACTCTGCTAATGTTAAAACGGATGTTGCTGCCGTTGTGACATGTGTGCCTGTGGATGCATCGTCGGTTAAAAACATTACACCATCTCCAATTTCATGGAAGGATGAGGTTAATAGTCGACATGTCAAATCAGCGGTCATGCGACTGAATCGGGAAGGCGAAAACTGCATGAGAAGCATATTGAAGCCGTTAACTGACGCCACAAGCAAGACACAGTAAGATTCACAATAATATGTTTACCAATTTGTTTCTAACCTTGTTTTTGTTTCAGAAAAACTGAGAAGAAAAAAGTATACTTTGAAGATGGCATTTATCCAAGTCGAGATAGTGACGACGAGGATCGTAAATTGGTCGAAGACAGGATTCGACGTAAGGTTTTGCGTCTTCGTAAGAAACGTGGAATTGAAGTTGCAGCAGCACGGGATTTGTTGGGTGAAATGAAAATCAATGAATCACCTAAAATAGACCCAGCTCTAGAGACTCTTCCGCCACCTCCGCCTCCCTCAGTGCCGGTACCATCGCATTTAGAACAGCCTATTTACTTGAAACCTCCCACCCCGGTGCCCCTAGTTTATTTCCACTTCGATTCCATGGTACACTCTATGTACGTTTCACAATTGGAAAAAGGCATACCACCACGTCTACTCAATCCGAAATGTGTGCCACCGTCGGTTCCACCATCAGCGTCTCGATCGCCGAATGTAAATTCGCCAAATGCCATGTGCAGTGGCAGCAAAAAAGATTTAACCGCTATGGCAGCATTAAATAGAGTTGGTCGCATAGAGGGTCATAACTCGCATTCTCCTAAAATAATGATATGCGAAAAGTCACGCGATAGCCCAAACCTCGGATATTCAGACCGTCATGTATCAAAAAACAGTGTAAATTTCATAGGACCGCCTGGATCCCCGCAAATGCACCCTCCACCACAAATTCGCCACGCTTCCCCGCCGATGGGCTTTATTGGCATGCGTATAAACAATTTCAACCGCCTACCTCCATCTCCATTAACCCGTGGACCAATGCCACAATTCGTACCACCAATGGGTATACCCATGAATGTTAGACATCCGCAATTCAATATGCCCCCACCGGGAATGCCACCCGAAAACTATACGGGGCCACCATCTTTTAACACAACTCAGAAGCCTCCTCCGCCCGGTCATATGAATATGCATCAGAGACCCCCAAATGCAGGATACTTTATGGGATCGCCATCCATGCAACATCCCCCGCCGTCTATGCATGCCAGTGAAATGGAACCAAATTCAAGATTGGTTAGCCCGCAAGCCATGATAGCACCTTACAATGTAAAAAAGACTGTAAATTGAACGTATGGACGCTGTCGACGACAAAAGGTGTAGCGTAAAAACGGTCCATACCAACCCTATTACCACTATTTTCATATTATGTAATTTAAGACTTAGCCATACTGGAAGGCATAGAAATGCAGATTTCTATGCATGCAATATTGATTTGAAGTAGAAATATACCGATATATGAAAACCAAGTCCATGTATTCAAGTTTTGTATCAAACGTCATTATGCTTAACTCAGCACATATAAATTTAAGTAAAACTGTACAATTTGTTTTCACACTACCAGCCAAAATGTTCCCCACATTTTTGTATGAATTCATTTAGTTTTAATTGCCCTCAATTGGATAAGTATTTTATTTTTCGTTTATTTTTGTTTGTGAAACAAAAAGAAAAACCTCCAAAAACGAGTGTTCACTGAATTTACTTTTTTAGTTATATTTGCATAGTTGTTTATTTAGTTCACTTTCTTAGTTTTTAATCCAAATATTTTGTTAAATTAAAATACTACAACTACTAATATTAAATACAAATATGACTAAGGTCTTAATCAATAATAGAATTTTAAATACTTTGAAAAAGTTTTAAGTAGTTTAAAGATAAAAAACAAATGTAATGAAATTAAAAACGATAACAAAAAAATCCAACAAAATGTATTAAATAAAGTACATTATAAAATTGTGTGATTTTTAATTACAAATGGAACGAATTAATTAATGATCTGGAAGTGACGGGGTACTATTCCAAATGAAGTTACTTTTATTGCGCTTATTGGGAGGGTACTATATTCATAGGTTTACAAGTTTCCAATGTACTATTCATGTATATAATGTATATAAGAAATGAAAATTACAGGAGATTAATTGGAGTACATTTTGCGAATAAACGTAAGTATTTAGTTTAGAGATCGAAAGTACTTCTAGGTGTTAGATTTGAAAATGATGTAACTGCCATGTCTGTGATCGACGAAACAGAAGTGTTTCCGGACGAAATTGAAGATGTTTTATTGGAACTGTAAAAACGATAGAATTTATGTTTAATGTTTTGTTACAGACATACCAGGAAATTATTGATTATAGCCTAAGGCTTTATTAATTGAATAAAATCAAATCAATGTGGATAAATTAAACGAGATCAGTAACTATTATATAGTGAAGAGTATGCCAACATTTGTTTTTATTAAAAATAAACGTTTATCGAGTTTTGCTCGCGCTGACGACATGCTGCTGCAACAGACAATAAAGTAGCAAAAACGCCATTTTATAATTTCGTAAAAAAAGTTTGTGAGCCTCAAATTTCTAAAAAAAAATTTATCTGTACTCATACGTCAAGAATCATAAAGAAAAAATCGTCGTAGTAAAAAGTAGTAGATTCTTGCAGTACAGAAACAGACCAAATGCTGCAGGGGCAATTTGTTTTATGCTGTTTTTTGCTTATTCTGGCAATTCATCCATGATGTATTTTTTGTAATCTATTTTTTGTATTGTTAATATGTTTTTTAATTCTGAACGAATTTCGAATGTTTACACAAATATTTTCTTTCCGCAGTCAGATCAAGTTATACTATACAATACCAAATAACGGTAGTCTTGGAGTCTTGCAACATATTCGAAGATATGTTCAAATTTGGTGGAAACTTCCATACCAAATATATCAACTTTGGTCCGCATTTTCATATAGATCATATAAAGGTAAGACCAAATTTCGGTATTCCAAAAAATAACACTGGGACAGGGGGAATATATCTATTCCCCTTTTATTAATCGATTTTTTAAGCCAACATCGGGGTCCCGGCAGAACTTCATGTATTTTTTGCTAATATGAAGTTCATTGACATTGTATATGTATAGCGCCGTAATTAAGATTTCAGATCTACCTTTTAACATATCTAATTGTATGCATTTACCTATTATCATCAAGCTGCCTTCTCTGCTGTCGAATCAATTTAACTCTGTTTTGTAAATGCTTACGCTTATGTCGGAGATTTTCACATTCTTGATAGAGTATTCGGCAATTTTCTTTTGCCTCAGCATATTCACGGCGATATTCATCTCTCCTGGAATACTGAAAATGGATCGTGATTAGAGATCATAAAAAGTAAATAAAAATAAATTCTCAACACATGCCAATGACTCCTGGTGGGCAAGAAATCGCAGGCGGTGCTTAATTTGAAATGACGCAATTCGGAAAGTATTCAGACCATCAGAATATGGTTCTGGGTGGAATAGCTCCTTTAGACTTGGTGGCATTGAATGTCCAATTTCACATGCTTTGGTATTTTTTAAGCACAAGTTACACTTAAAGACGCCGGGCTGTTGCGAATCTCCTCGCAAGCAAGACTCACAAACGATGTGATTGCAGGCAAGTAAAAAGAAGCGGCATTCTTTTTTGAAATACATTCTGTAACAGATATTACAATGGACCCAATAGGTATAGAATTCAGCCGCAGTCGGGACTTGCTTCTCTTGGCCGTTCATGGTTGCACTTGCTTTTGAAATTTTACAAATTCCTCTGAAATATTTAATTCCTGAGAATGTTTCGGGATAATTTATACTTATTGACCTAATTCCACTTGGAACTAATTTTTTGACCTGCAAATATTAATAATGCACATTAATACTGACTTCCTTCGCTATTTTATAAACTAAATAAATTGAAACTAGAAACCATGAAAAGAAATTCAATAAATTACCGTTGCATTTTCCGTCGTGTTAATTGTTATCGACAATACAACTGCCACAAGGGGACGATAACTTCAACACTTGTAGTTGATGTGCGCTGCGCTTCGGAGTTAAATATATTTTAGCTTTTTGCGTGCGTTAACGCGATAACAAAAAACGCCCAACGCGAACATTCTGTTTAGCCCTTTAAGGGATAAGCAGAATGCTCGCGTTGAGCCATACGTCTCGTTATGTGTTATCGAAAATACACAACCACAAATATAATATTATTAAATATATTTTAACTTTTTGCGTGCGATAAAAAAAAAACGCTCAACGCGAACATTCTGCTTAGCCCTTAACTATTTATTTTACCTTTTAGAGAGCATTTATATTTGGGCATCTGAAAATTAATGTACGTGTTTACTGCTAATGAAGAATTCAATACAGTCTCCAAACAATTGACCAAAAATTTAAATGTATTGGTTATATGGTTTGTCTCTCTCAGAAAATTGTTTGTAAACGCTTGATTATAAAATCCGATAAATAGTAAAATCTTGCAGGCTCTGAATCTGAGTGAACGATTTTTGTTCTGAGCAAATTAAATTCATAATGAACGACATGAAACTAGTTCGTACGATTTCTTGCAGTGAATCATTCATCTAGAACTAGTCCATTTGTGAATTCATGACATCGTTGACATCGTAACAAAACTTTTTCATCTTTTTGCGAGAAAAGCCACGTAGAAAAACATAATTATCTTCCGGTCGCTGGATATTACTGTAAGATAAACAACATCCAGCTCTTGCAAACAATTTCAAGAACACCATAAAAGAACAAAAGTAGAGGGCCGCTATGGGGTTGGCGGCTAGAGCATTTGTGTTTGCTTTAACAATTCTTCTCGTCAGAGGTGATGAACACAATCATAAGGTGAGTTATTGGAAGAAATAAAAACACGATTTGCTATGTGTATTTGCACAGCTGTAATTGGGCACAATCTGTGTATTTTCAGTATAACGATGGCGAAGAAGTGGTTCTATGGATGAATACCGTTGGTCCCTATCACAACCGGCAAGAGACATATGCCTACTTCAGTTTGCCGTTTTGCAGTGGTTCCAAATCCAGTATATCCCATTACCATGAAACGCTGAGCGAAGCGCTGCAGGGTGTGGAGTTAGAATTTAGTGGCTACGAAATAGAATTCAATCGTATGTAAAGTGTGAATGTGGTGACTTCATTTGCAAATCGTCCTTTATTGTTGTTGTTTTTTTGCAGGTGATGTTCCCTCCACTGTTATCTGTATGGTGGATCTGACGGAGGATAAAGTTAAAGCCTTTACGTATGCTGTTATGAATGAATACTGGTATCAAATGTACATTGACGGCTTGCCCATTTGGGGAAAGGTTGGTGAAAAGGATGATCAAGGCAGATACTACATTTATACACATAAAAAATTCGACATTGGTCGCAATGGACAGCAAATTGTGGATATCAGTTTGACTACGGAAAAGAAAGAACTACTGGTAGCAGGATCGAAAATCAAATTTTCTTATGAAGTGAACTGGAAACCTAGTGTTGTGGAATTTAAAGATCGCTTTGATAAATATTTGGATCCGAATTTCTTCCAACATAGGGTAAGTGGAACAAATCCTTTTTTACCAAAAAAAAAAAATATATATATATATATCATTTAAAAAATGTATTGAGGGAGTGCCTATGTTTTGTCCGATAGACGAATTATTTTTTTATTGAACTAATAAAATCAGAATAATAAACATTTTATCTATCTCACTTATAAATATGAAGATATGCCGTATATTTTACTAACTATTGATTGTTATAATAAGTTTGCCAAACAATTTTGCAAGCATGGTACAATAATAATGGGGTTGCAAATATGATTATTATATTAATGAATTTGAAAATATTGTTAATTTTTGGTTGTATTTTTCAACACATTACATACACGTACACAACTTGAGTTATTGTTTTGACAGAATAGGCGTACCACAAGGAAAAATTGTGATCAGTAGGTACTATTAAACTATCTCTTCATATTGTACCATGACAAAATATGTTAAACTTCTATCTGCTCCACACTTTATTTAAATGCAATATAGCCGATATTGCTAACATTTACCTTAAAACTATTATTATAACTTTCAGATTCACTGGTTCAGCATATTCAATAGTTTCATGATGGTTATTTTCCTCGTTGGCTTGGTGTCGATGATTTTAATGCGAACATTGCGAAAAGATTATGCTCGTTATAGCAAAGATGAGGAAATGGATGATATGGTTTGTAGCATATTGATTATAATTTGTTCACATTGCTATAATACTTAGTATTTTTTAAGGAACGTGATTTAGGTGATGAATATGGTTGGAAACAAGTACATGGTGATGTTTTCCGTTCCCCTCCACACGCCCTTTTGTTTTCGGCCCTAATTGGTGCTGGATATCAACTGATTTCCGTGGTATTTTGTGTAATTATTTTTGCTATTGTTGGAGAATTATACACAGAGTAAGTTTTTCAAATGTTATTAAAACTACTGCATCCCATTATAATCTATATTGTGGTTCAATAGACGTGGTTCAATGCTATCGACGGCCATATTTGTATACGCTGCTACCTCTCCGATCAATGGTTATTTTGGTGGATCCTTGTATTCGCGATTGGGTGGCCGCATGTGGATTCGTCAAATGTTGGTATCTGCATTTATGGTTCCAGTGTTTGTGTGTGGAACCGCCTTCTTCATAAATTTTATTGCCATTGGCTATCATGCTTCGAGAGCTATACCATTTGGCACAATGGTTGCCGTTACATGCATATGTTTCTTTGTGATTTTACCACTAACATTGGTTGGCACAGTGGTTGGTCGCAACTTGGACGGCCAACCCGATTATCCCTGTCGCGTTAATGCTGTCCCTAGACCTATACCAGAAAAGAAATGGTTTATGGAACCAGCAATAATTATATTATTGGGAGGCATTTTGCCTTTCGGTTCAATATTCATCGAAATGTAAGTCATTTAAATATTTCGACTTCCCGATTGTTACATTTTACATTACTTTTTTATACTTTTGGTCGTTTTAGGTACTTCATATTTACTTCATTTTGGGCATACAAAATCTACTATGTTTACGGCTTTATGTTGTTGGTCTTTACCATTCTTACCATAGTTACTGTGTGCGTAACAATTGTCTGTTCATACTTCCTATTAAATGCCGAAGACTATAGATGGCAGTGGACCAGTTTTATGTCTGCCGCCTCCACCTCGATATATGTGTATGCTTATTCATTCTATTACTTTTTCTTCAAAACTAAGTAAGTACATATGCAAGCTTCTGTCAATTCTTAATATTTTACATTTCCCAACACTTTTCTCTCACACTTTACAGAATGTATGGCCTTTTCCAAACCACATTTTATTTTGGATACATGGCGTTATTCAGTGGTGCTTTAGGTATAATATGCGGAACAGTGGGTTATATTGGCACAAGTGTGTTTGTACGTAAAATTTATTCCAATGTTAAAATAGACTAGATGCAATTTTTAGCTTTTCCAACCAAAAACAACGTAAAATAAAACCACATAAACTCTTTATCTTTCTCCAAACAAAAATAAATAAATATGTTCTTGCTTCTCAACACTGACTTTATATATATAAAGAGAACACTTTTTATAATTTATACGTCTCGTATGCAAAATAATATTAATAATAATATTAGTATGTAAAATTAATTAATGAAACAAACCGACACAAGCTATTATAATAGATGAGTAATATTGCCGTAATATTATGTTTAGTTTATGTACATTTAATTTTGTCTTAGTTAAAGCATAACTTTTTGTGATTAGGTTATTCTAAACTTCTCTCATGTCTGTTCAAATAAAAAATATATTTGACTTGAGAACGGTTGCTATAATATTTCCCTTGAATGGTGTATTATTTCTGCCTACTAGCTGACTCCAGTATTTACATTTTCCAATTGTGAAAACTTTGTTTCAAAGTAAAAATTGTAAAAAAATAAAATGCAACAAATTAATCAACAACAACAACGTCCTTAAGATTTTTGTTTAACAATATTTTATTGTGTTTAATTTCTTTTGTATATTCTAAATATAAATGCTTATCCTAGTGGGTACTTGGTTGACTGAGATACAATTTGGCATATATGCCATTTTTAGCTAACAATTGTGGATGGTTACCTTGTTCGACAACACGGCCACTCTGTATAACACATATCATATCGGCATTTTGAACAGTAGCTAATCGATGGGCTATAACTAAACAGGTACGACCCGAACAAGCTTCGTCTAGGGCTGTTTGAACGAGGCGTTCGCTTTGCAAATCCAAAGCAGAAGTGGCTTCATCCAGGAGAAGAATTTTGGGATTTCTAACGAGAGCTCTGGCAATTGCTATACGTTGTTTTTGACCTCCAGATAGCTGGGTGCCCCTGGCGCCGAGACAAGTCTCATAGCCAGATGGCAATGCTGAAATAAAATCATGGGCATTGGCCATTTTTGCTGCAGCCAATATTTCCTCCATGGGAACGTTGCGTGATGTATCTCCATAGGCTATATTTTCTGCTATGGTTTTTTCAAATAAGGATGGTTCTTGGGATACTATGCCAATACGTTTGCGTAAAGCGGATAGACTCAAGTCGTGGTGAATGTCATCTTGATCAATAAACTATAAGAGTAAGATAAAAACAACTGCATATCTCATATGAATATTAATTTGTAGAATTTACTTACAATGCTACCCGAATCGGGGTCGTAGTATCTCAGCAACAACTGCACACATGTGGATTTTCCACAACCAGAAGCTCCCACTAAAGCAACAGTTTTGCCTTGTAACACCTCTAAATTTAGACCGTTTAGAACCCTCTGATCTCGTCTTGTTGGGTAACGGAAATGTAAATCACGGAAGCTAACACCCTGTACTGCATTACTCTTTCCTGATATTAAAGGTAGATTTTTTGCCGATGAAACTTCGGGTGATTTAATTTCCGGTTCACGGTCAATAATGGAAAATATACGATCAGCAGATACAAGCGCCGCATTAAACATAGGTGTGAAGGCCAAGGATTGAGCCAAAATGAATAAACCGTACAACATGGAGTTTGAAATTCTGCAAAACAATGCGTGTTCACAAAACACTCTGTTCTCTATATAGATTATGGTGTGTGTGACTTACTTCATAATGTTTTCAAATTTAATTCTGCCATCGGCACACATATAGCCACCATAGGTGAGAGTAATGGCGTAACCCAAAAACATAATAGACATTCCGAGCGAGTTTATAACACCTCTGTAGCGTAGTTTCTTTTTGATTTCTTGGCGATATCTCTCCACTTCCAGGTCGTACATCTTAATTAGGTCCGCTTCTCGCCGCAAAGCTGCTACTGTCCGAATTTGCGCAATTGTTTCCGTGGCAATTCGACTTGTTTCTTCTAGAATTTCTTTTTCTTTCACGGCGCTCTTATTGGTGTACCTGGATTTTGATTGGAAATGTGTTAATAGGACAGATGTGGATAAACCAAAATCGACTCACTTAGCTTCGAAAATTACAGAGGCCACCATAAATGGAGCTGTAGTCAAACATATCAATGCCAATTCCCAGGAATAGTAAAATGCAATGGAAAAACTACATACGAAGTTGGAAAATGCTTGTAACATATTGCTCAAAGGAAAACCAATAGCTCCCTGCACTCCGGAGGCGTCTCCGGACAAACGTGCTGATAAAGAACCAACACTGTTTTCCTTGCGATCAAACCAGGCCATTTCTTGACAAAGAATTTTACCGATTGTAATAGATCTATAAATACAAGTAGGAGTTCATGAATATAGTGAAATATTGAAGATTTAATTGAGAGAGTGTTTGAAGAAATGTTGTTCTCACAATACAATTTATCAGTGTAAGGATGAATGGATCTCTATAAAGAATTGCTGATTTCCCCTTGCATTTGAATTGCAACAACTGTCACTTACCTCAATCTTGTTGTAAACCATAATCCAGCCAGATTGAAGAAATATGTTTGTGTGAAACATGTAACACCTGCTACTATACCAACAACGATGGCTATAATAGCCGATCTTCCGGTGTTATTAATGACATCTGCTTCGTCGATTTCATTCAAAGAACCAAAGAGATCAGCGAACACAAAAGCAAATGCCGGTTGGGCGCATCCATATAGTAGAGCACATACAGCAGCAATGCTCAAGAAACCCCATTCGGGCTTGGCCCATTGTACTACACGGTTGAATGTTTTCAAATATTGTGTCCTCTCTATAGTCGCCATTTCCTTCAGAGATGGGTCCGTTAGAGAACAGCGTGCTGCAAAAGCCTGAATCATATTTTTATCCAATGAAGCCTCGGAGAATCGTGGAACATTAACTCCGTTCGGAACGGACTTTTCAACAGGCAAGAGTTTTTCCTTTTCCACCTCTTCTATTTCTTTGTTATCAGCAGTGTCTTCGTTGTCTAGCAAACTTTCGTATTGGTGGGCTGTCACCATGTCGTAATAACGGCCCTTTAATTTCATAAGGCTATCGTGATTACCCTCTTCAATAACTTTCCCTTTATCTATGAAAATAATACGGTCGGCACTACGAATGGCCGAGAGACGGTGGGATACAACCAATGTAGTGCGTCCTTTGCTTGCTCCGTCCAAAGCGGCTTGTACTAACTTTTCTGAATGATAATCCAAGGCAGATGTGGCTTCATCGAGTAGAAGAATTTTTGGATTTTGTATAAGGGCACGGGCAATAGCTATTCGTTGACGTTGGCCGCCCGACAGCTGAACTCCTTTTTCGCTGATAACGGTGTTGTAGCCCTAAAATCAGAAATTGTAGTAACATTGTATGTAGGATTGTGTAAACAAAAAAAAAGGATTTACCTCCGGTAGACCTATTATGAAGTCATGTGCTCCACCCGCCCTTGCTGCATCTTCAATATCTTTTTGTGTTGCATCCGGTTTACCATATCTTATGTTCTCCTCTATGATATCAACGACATCATATTAGTTCAAAAGGTAATAACAAAAAATAATATGACGTATCTTACCTATGGTACCATAAAATAGCACTGGTTCTTGACCCACTACGGCCATTTGGGATCTCAGCCAGTTGACATTGTATTTGCGTATATCCTCATTATGGAGCAAAACTTTGCCAAATATGGGATCATAAAATCTCTGCAATAGTTGTACGCATGTTGATTTGCCCGACCCCGAATAGCCAACTAAAGCAACGGTTTCTCCCTCGTTTATTTTTAGATTGAAACCCCTCAATACTATGGTATCTGGACGTGACGGATAGGCAAAGAAAATATCCTGAAATTCGATATCGCATTTGAGACCCGAGTTAACAACTTTGCCTTCACTTGACAAAGGGTCAATCTTCGATTCTGCCTCTAGAACTTCATAGATGGCTACAGCTGAGCCACGAGCACTTGCAAAGGCTTCTAGGAAGGGTGAAGTGCGAGCGATGTGATCAGCACCCACAATAATACCACATATAACCTACAACACATTGTCAACAGTTATGTACAACCACAAAAGGAACAAATGAAACCTATCATTCATGCTTACAATCATCAGAATAGCAGGTGTATATTCCTGATCCTCCGGTTCCTTAAAGCGATCGTCAAGAATCAAGTGAGCTCCATACCAAAATGCTCCCGCACTGCTAATGAAAAGCATTGACTTTAAAACTGAATCTCCCAAGCCCAAGAATATTCCTTTGAGTCTGCCCGTTTTAAGGCCAGGTTTTAATAGATTATCATAACGATCTCTTTCAGTTTGTTCACCCCCAAAAGCAACCACGGTTCGTACAGAACTAATGATTTCTTCCACAATCGATGCTGCCCTGGCATAGACGTTCTGCTCTTCTGTTGTTAATTTACTTTGGTACTAAAAAACAAAATCAAATTAAATTATACGCGGGGATGTAGAATTCAATGCAAAACATACCTTCGATATAAAATAGTTAATAATCATTGTCAATGGTATATAGGCACAAATGGCCAGGGTTAAACGCCACCCATATATGAACGATATTAGAATACTGATGACAATATCGAAGAACATCATTACGAAATGTCCTATGGTTTCCGAGATGCCATTGCGAATTTTTTCCATATTGCTGTAAAAATATTTTCAAATTATGCATACATACTACATCTAGTTTTTAAGTATATGTCCTGACTTACTCTGTAATTCGAACCGCAAAGTTTTGATTTTGAGCCATATCATGCCAACCAATATCCTGTCGTATAGTTGCCTCAAAGAAATTCCTTCTCATTCGTACAACAATATTAAGAGCAACATGATTGAATAGATCGACGTAAATAATACCGCTAACGAACATAAGAAGTGAATCAAGAGCACAAATTATTCCAAACGACATGGAATCGTGCCGTAATTCTTCCATATTTTCTTCGAATGTTCCATTATACCTGTGACAAAATTAAAAAAAAACCAAGAACCTTATTTAAATTTCTAAAATACGATAACATCTATTAGGAAAAATGGAACTGTAGCATGGTAGGGGGTAGTAGTTCACAAACTTTTCTTTTATTCTATAGGAGAGACTGGAGCATCTTCGGCATCGGTGCACATTCGGCAATTGCGTTTTCGATATGAAGTTGTACATCACTAACTTCGATCCATAGGTAGCGAATATCAATGTCGCAAAGTTTGAAATCTCTAGCTAATAATGTTATTTAGATTTACCGGTTTTTTTTGAATTTTTTCAGATGTTTTGGTAATATTTCCAATCCAATTGTAAGTATTTCGTGTATAAAACTTTTCAAGTTGAGAGGTAGTATTGAAAAGTATATTCTTATGAAAATAATTAAAAATATAATGTTTTAGAAGACTGATAGAAAAAAATGAAAAAAAAGATTCGGTAAAATAAAATGGAGCACATTCGGCCATATACAGATAGTGCTATATTATTTCCTTACCATGTTTTTGAGTTCGTCTTTAAAAATAATCCTTTAATATGGTTCGAAATTACATATACAAGACCAAACGTTCTTGTATTGACGAAAATGTAATAGAAGAAAGCTATTTCTAGTGGTGCGTGTGGCCTTGAGACGTCCACATCCGCCGCTATAAAAGACAGCCTTAAAACTCAAACATTGAATCGTAAATTAAAATAAAACAGAACCCTCAGAGGATATGAATTTCAACCAGACTGATAGAAGTGATAATTACCAGGCTATGACTATGGTGCCGAATCCATTTGACGAATTTGAGTTTTTTACAAAACTTTAAAATTGTTTAACTAATACTAATTTATTATATGATTTTATTACTAGTTTTTATAATAAAGTAACTGAGGACAATAATCAGTCATAAAGTTTTTATATCTGTTGAATAAGTACTAAGATTTAGAGCTCTAAAAAAGTGTCAAATGGTCACCAGTCTCCCATACTAAATTCGGAGTCTAGTTCTACATTTCGTGTTGCTCTAATAGACGAAAACAATTCAAATAATGATTATATTTTAAAATTTAATCACAAAGGTGTGCAGAGTAATTTGGCAGATAGACCGAAAGACGATAAGACAGACATACATATATTGACTCAAAAAGTTAGTCCACGTTAATCCTCAAAAGTTACTACAGGCCTGTCTTGTTTCATCTAAAAAATTTCGATACGAAGATGAGATAAAAAATAAAAATTGTAATTTTTTGTGGTTTAATATCCGCATCCACGGTCATATGTTGAGGCTATAAAAAATATAAAATATGTAGGCATATTTTCCAACCCGATTTGGTTATATTCAGTTTTTCACTTTCGATTTTGCAATAAAAAATAAAGCGAGATAGAACCTATACGACCACTATTATACGACGCGTTCGACTCATTAGGCATATTAGACATATTAGGTTTATATATCGAAGTTATTGCGAAATTTCATCATCGAATTAAATTAAAATGTATCAAAGTTCGACTTCTTGCCACTACTCCAGAAACTGTCCTCTACAAAAAGGTGTTTTTTGTTTGTTTATTATTTTGGAAGTTTTCGATCAAGGATGTTTCATTTTTCTCATTACTGAAAATGAGCACTATCACATAACGTTGGCGTCCGATTATTGGCGATTAAATTGACCGAGGTTCTTGAAGACAAAAAATCTTACGGTAGAAAATGATTAATTTTGTGTGAGTCTATCCCGTACAAATGCTTCCTGCTTTTTACATTTTTGATATCCACATATAAATATATATTTTTGAGATAGAAAATCAAATTGTAAAAATTATTCATTAATTGAAATATATGTTGTCCTCCATGCGGTTCTTGATTATCGTATGATGGTGTTCAATTATTTCAAAATGTTAACTATAAATGTTACTATTTACTAACTTACGGTATCTCTAATATTGTATACCTTGATACGAGTATTTCAGGAATAATATGAATGCAATACTTACAAATATTTGCCACCTCCAAATAGTGGTAGGAAATATGTTTTCGTCGTTGGCAAGCACAGACTTCGATCGACAAACATCGCCACCAATTCACTATAGACCACAATGATAATCGGAAATACCAAGGATTTGAGAAAAGCTGCTACAAATGCCACCGCCAGCAAAAAGTTCTCCCAACGCGTTGCAAATGCAAATAGTTCAAAAAATCCCACATTTCGTTGAAGCGGCTCCAACTTCGGTTTTTTCTTAATTTTTTTATTATCCGCTGGATCCCTCATGATGATGTTATCTACGCCAATGACAAACGCGAGTGAGTTAAACAAACCAAACACGGACTTTTCACAACTGTGTTTCGTTTAGATCATAACGTGCAGATCTACAACCAGCCAATCGACGACGTAATCAATCAATTAATGCTCACGTTTTATGGTTGAGAAAAATGATGTTCTTGATTCTGTCTTTTTTTGGTAATTTCTTCGTTCACTTGAAGTTTTTTTTATTTACTTTGTGCTACCATCACTGATGTCTACGAGTGACCATTAATTTCATGCCATAGGTCAATTGATAGCAATTTAATAATATTTTGTGATTCTATACGAAGAGGTATTTTAACTAGTATTTTTTTTTAATTTTTCGCGCTTTGCTTTAGGTCTGTCCGGCGAAAAGATTCGAAATGTAATGATGTCGCCACTTGATTTGTTTCAGCGTTTTTGACTTTGCATTCACGACCAGCGAAATATATCCGCAAACCATAGGCTCCTTTGAGACCTTATCTCGGCCAAAATCGTTCGAGCTTTATCAGATAGTAGAATTTTTATAGCAGACAAATAGTGGAGTTTTTGTCGTTGTTTCAGTTGTAACGCCTTATTTTTAACTAGACACGATTTGTTTGCCGTTGTATATCTACATACATATATATTTCTATTCTTCAATTAATTATCTTATCGTTCAAATATTTAATATACCATCTATAAAACATCGTTTATTGCCGACTAAATGGTAATCACAATCAGAGTGCCGGTAATTATTTCATCATTCCATTAACGATAATGTTTACAAAGAAATCAAAGTATTTGAATTCAATGCGAAGGAAAGTGCAAGTCATGGCAACTCTGTCTAATGTTTGTGTCAAGGAAGCTTTTTATGGTTAAAGGTGTGATTTCTATTTTAGACGCGCGTTGCTTTATCGATTACTTTTCAAAGATATTCCAGTTACAAGTTGAAAGCGGAATTTTCCCACGCCAACCTTCCGTGTTTATGTGGTGTTGGTTGAAAATTCTCCCGGCGACTGGCACATAAAAAAGTTGATCACATACCGTTTTATACATAGCAGGATTCTTTTTGGTACGATGGGCAATATAGAAATTACATCATTGTTTTGGTGTTGCTATTGACAAAATGGAAATTTTACACTGGAAGAATTTGTAATTCATTAATAGATAATTGTACGGGAAGGACATGTAAAAATCTGGAAAATATATTCGTTTTTGTAACAATTTTAAATGGAGTACCCACTACAGTTCGGCAAAGTTTATCACTGTAATGGTGCGTATACGCAATGTAGTTCATATCAAGTTTTTATATTTCTCTTTAAATTTTAAAATCTCCATTGTATATGCTTCCAACATGTAAACTAGGTGTACTTTTCAAACGAAATGGTTTACAAGAAAGATCCTCAATTTAATTTATTATAACCATTTTTCGAAACAACGTGGCAGTTTTTGGCGTTAAGGTCATGTATGGATCGCAAATTTTAGAGGGTTTTAGAAAGTCTTCCATACTCGACTTATAGTACGTTTACATTGTACCGGAAATAATACATATGATATGCTATTCCTACTTGGCAAGTATAACCTGAATTTAAATAGGAATATTTTTATACATTTAATACGCCAGTCATTGGAATATTATTTAAAAATTCTCCCAGTGTCTTGACACTTTAACCACAAAACTAAACATTGATTTCTATGATATTAATTGAAATTGATTTAGAGGTATTTTATTCAGTCTGAGAATACGGCAAACTAACAAGGCATAGGGAAGAACAACACTTAATTGAAATAGTTCAAAATGTTGGTCATCATAACGTCAGCAAGATCTGACGAAAATTAATAAATCTGACAAATATCGAATGTCTACTGCGGGCCAAAGTTGTGGGAAATCTCGCGGCGTATATGAAATCAAATTAGAAACAATTTTGTAGATTGTGTATGAAATTAAATCATATAATTTATTAAACTATAATATGAATGTTTGACAAAGTTTGGCTAAGAAAAAGCTTTCAGTTAGCAGATGAGGAGCTTGATGGAAGAAAAGTCAAACCCTAATTTCATCATGTTACATATCACTATCGTTAAAAACAAAAGCTATTCACATTTGTTATCGTCTAAATCAACAATCGTTTAATAACCTATTGATAACTGAAAACGTGTAGATAATTTAGAAATCAATATAGAATATGGACGTCTATCAGAGCATAGTGGGTGCCGTTATTTTTATAGAATTGTGGTAGGTAAGCCTCACGTGCTACTAACATGTTTATCGCGTTTACATTTAAACTAGATGCATACAATCACATCTACGAAAGGAGGTTAGGATATTATTTATGACAATATCTCTTGAACTTGATTAACGACTTGACTTGAATTTGAGCACTATACTTAAGCTCCCTTTTGGGCGTCGATAAATAATAAAACTATGTTGTAATATAAAACTACTATTTATCAATGATTGTCAGTTTACAATGGTTCTTTTGGTTGTAAGGGCGCAGGAAGAATTCAGTGATAGTTTCCTTTCGTTAGACAATTTTTTTTGCATTCGAACAATCATTTCAAACATAATTAATGTATTTCCTCTCATATATATTTCCTACAAAATGGTTATTATAAATTTGCGTAAAATGCCATTAAAACAGTAATAAAATATTTATATCAAGCTTAATGTATGTCATATGTATATTCATTGTAAAGGTAATATATGTACCTATTAGTTAAAATTTATAATAAACCAAAAATTATTAATTTTATGAAGCTTGAAAGAAAAAAGTGTTCAAGAAAAAATTCTATACATATGATTCCACAATACTATTTTCTTTATTCCAACATGGTCCATATGTGTGTAACAACAAACTTTGATTCATAGCTAGGATATTCTATTCGAGTACATTTTTTTTAATTTTTACCTGTATGTGGTCTACAATTAGGTCTAGAACAATGTAGCCAAGCTTGTTTTGAATCAGTTCAGATTTAGATAAAGCCCCCATATATAAAAACATATAATTTCATATCAATTGTTCAATCTGTCAGACCGATCTGACCCTTTGTGTCCCATAATAATACGCGTCATGGTTAGGTTTAATTCGGTTATACTCGACATAACTATATTGAGAAGGCTCCAGGCAGTAACTCCACCTTTAAATATACCACATAAAAATCATTATTAATTATTTAAGTAATAATAATGTAAACCAATATTTTAGTCTGTTTTTAGTTGTACTAAAGATCACGAATATCAAGAAATTTCACAGGAATGGGGGATCGGGTCAAGGAATATGCCGCGGAGTAGACTTTTGTGTGAAAAATTAAAAAAAACAAAAAACGTTTGCCAATCTCAGACATTTTTTGGTATATTGAAGGTCATATCTTGACATGAGTTTCCTCCTAGGAGCCCCATTAATGTTACATATTTTGAATGTCGTCTCTGGTTCCATCATTTGTCATTGGATCTAAACAATATCCACCCATAAATAAAACACATTTTATATTGATTATTATAATTTGATGCAACACTTAGGTTAACCTGCAATGCAACATAATAACGAACAAAGAAACAATACAATTAGACATAATGGTTTTTTAAAAACAATTTGTCTTCAATGTGCATTTGTTTTTATTGTCTTAATATTAATTTTAAATTTAATTGTGCTTAATTTCTATGTATGTATTATAGTGATACCTTATGCTAACGGACGAAGGAGTAAAGATAAACTGGAATAGAATAGGTATTAAAAAGGTACGAAGTCGATTATATAACAGTTGAACTCCATTCTAGAGATTTTTATATACATATATATTTTTTCGATTCGATAGTTGTAGATAATGGAATCTCTTATTGGCGTAAACCAACAAAAATGTTCTTAGTCTTCATTTGCTATTGGTACTTAAGATATCAGTTGGAATATTTGTGAAATTTAACAATGAATGTAAATATAACAATTGATTGTGGCAACTTCTAATGTTCCTTTTGAGTCTTATGGAGTTTGGCATAGAGACCATCCTTGGCCAGTAGCTGATGGTGTGTGCCTTGTTCAACAATGCGTCCATTTTGAACGACACAGATTAAATCGGCATTTTGTACGGTGGACAATCGATGGGCGATCACAATGCAGGTGCGACCAGTACAGGCCACGTCCAGAGCCTGCTGTACCAGCTGTTCACTCTGCAGATCCAAAGCTGATGTCGCCTCGTCCAGTAGCAGTACTTTGGGATTACGCACCAAGGCACGAGCAATGGCAATACGTTGCTTTTGTCCTCCAGACAATTGGGTGCCACGAGCACCCATTTTAGTGTCATAGCCATTCGGAAGGCCCATAATAAACGAATGGGCATTGGCACTTTTGGCCGCTGCTATTATCTCAGGCATTGAAACGTCCCTTGTATTGTCGCCGTAGGCAATATTTTCAGCGATGGTGCGTTCAAATAATGTGGGCTCTTGTGAAACAATTCCAATTTTGCTGCGTAGATTGTCTAACGTCAAATCTGTTTGGATGTCATCGTTGTTTATGTGCTGCAAGTAGATTTGATAAAACCATTAGAACTCATTCCGCAGTTGGACGCTTCGAATACTCACAATTGTTCCATTGTCTGGATCGTAATAACGTTGCAGCAATTGTATACATGTCGACTTGCCGCAACCGGAATGCCCGACCAGAGCCACTGTTTTACCCTGCAGCACTTCCAGATTGAAACCATTTAGAATTTTAACATTCAAACGGGTTGGATAGCGGAATTCTATGTCTCTGTAACGAATGCCTTCGAAAAGATTTAATTGTTTGGCAAAGGTATTCTTGGCTGGTACAACGGCACTGGTGATCTGCGGTTTACGATCCAATATTTGGAATAGACGATGACTAGCCACCAAAGCTGCGGTAAATGCTGGTGCAAAAGCTAATGATTGGGCTAACATCATAGATCCATATAACAAGGTTTCAGAAACTCTAAAAAGACGAAAAAATAATCTTAGGTCCTGGCCAGGCACAATTCCTATTATTGCTCTACTAGACTTACTTAATAATATCCTGGAACGGAATTTTGCCTTCTGATACCAAAACACCCCCATAACAAAGAGCCACAGCGTAGGCAAAGAAAAGGAAGGCCTGGCCGGTGGCATTTATAATACCACGATATTTGAGCTTTTGTCGAATAAGCTTTTCGACATGACGTATCTCATGATTGTATCTGTCGATGATGTGTTGTTCTCGACGTAGGCCAGCCACTGTGCGTATGTTGGCAATCGCCTCAGTGGCAATCCGACATGCTTCCTCCAATACCACTTTTTCTCTGATCATGGATGTGGTCATAAATCTGTAAATTTGAGGGATAATAAATATTTTCAAGGGGATTTTCCGAATGCAAAACATACTTCGCTTCGAATATCACAGAACCCACAATAATTGGGCATGTACTGAGGCATAACAAGGCCAGTTTCCAGGAATAGTAGAACGACAATGTCAGGCCAATTACAAAGTTTGAGAAAGCCTGTATAATGCCACTAAGAGGATAGCCAATGGCTCCTTGAATGCCGGCTGCATCACCCGACAATCGTGCTGATAACGCTCCCACACTGTTGGTGTCTCTATCGAACCAAGCCATTTCCTGGCGCATAATGGTCTTAAATGTTATCGAGCGCACTCGGGTAGTTAACCAAACTCCGGCATAATTGAAGAGATATGTTTGCAGGAAACAAGCCAGGCCTGTGAGTACGCCAATGACCAAACAGCAAATCGACAATATTGCTGTACGATCTAAAGCCACTTGTGGATCTTCTTCTGCCAAGGCGGCATAAAATTCACCAAAGGCAATGGAAAATCCGGGATAAGTAAAACCAAAACCAATAGCACAGATGGAACCCATAACAATGTAGCACCATTCGGGTCGTGCTATTTTCAAAATGCGTCCAAAAGTCTGGAAGAAATTAGGTTTAGATTCTGGTTCATCTTGCGGCATTGTTGTCTCTTCTATCACTGCATGGCCCCTCAAATCGGTTTCTTCCATTTGAAAACTATGTTTGTAGTTCTTTTCCAAATTGACGGGATTAGTTTCAAAAGACTTTTCATAAATTGCTAAGCTATTTCCTATAGACAAAAGAGGAGGAGATATGCTATTAGCGGTTGAGCGCTTGAGGAAATGTCAAACTCACGTTTTGCTTCATCAATATCTTCCATATTATCTGGTTCAGGGGTATTTATTTCACCAGCCTTAACCATATTGTAATAGGCACCTTCCAAAGCCATTAGATCATCATGCGAACCCTCCTCAATCACCTTACCTTCGTGTATGAAAACGATTTTATCGGCTCCGCGTATGGCAGATAATCGATGTGAAACGACAATTGTGGTTCGTCCTTTTGAGGCCATGTCTAAGGCCTCTTGGACTAGTTTTTCAGATTGATAATCCAAGGCGGAGGTCGCTTCATCGAGTAATAATATTTTGGGATTCTGTATTAGTGCCCGAGCAATGGCAATTCTTTGTTTTTGTCCACCTGATAGCTGGGAACCACGCTCACCAATAACGGTTTTGTAACTCTAAAAATTGATAATACATCAGTAGTTGCAAAAAATGGAAGAGTTCTACATACATCCGGTAGTTTTGATATGAAATCGTGAACTCCAGCAGCTTTGGCTGCTTCCTCAATATCCTTTTGTGTAGCCTTTGGTTTGCCATAGCTAATATTGTCAGCTAAATTAAAGCCAATTACATTATTTGTAGTGTAAAAAAACTAATAACAATACGACAATGATATCGTAGAAAATAGTAAATCTAGTAGATTCTTGCAGTACGGCAATAGACTAATTATAAACAGAAAAATTGTGATTCCGGGTCTGATTACATTTGTGTACTTACCAATACTGCCCCTAAAAAGTACCGGTTCTTGACCCACAATTGCCATATTCGAACGCAACCATTGAATATTATATTTCCGTATATCCAAATCATCCAACAAAATCGAACCGAACAAGGGGTCATAGAAACGTTGTAGCAATTGTATCACCGTCGATTTGCCACAGCCCGAAGTTCCCACCAATGCCACGGTTGTGCCGGCTTTGATTTTGATACTCAAGCCGCGATGCACAATGACATCTGGACGTGAGGGATATCTGAAGAAAACATCTATCAATTCCACATCTCCCCTCAACCCATAGTTGAGTAGTTTGCCATCTGTTGACATGGGATCGATTTTTGATTGGGCATCGATAACTTTGAAAATTGTCGCTGCACAACCACGGGCCATTGAAAAGGATTCCAAAAAGGGCGAGGTACGGGCTATATTATCAGCACCGATAATAATACCAAAGAATGCCTGTAAGGACATGTAAGATTATCAAAAATATATCCATCGATTTTTTACGAACAGAATTAAGAAATACTAACAATCATCAAAATGGCTGGTGTATATTCCTTATCTTCAACATCGCGATCATCTAAAATCAGATTAACACCATACCAAAAAGCACCCGCACACGATAGAAAAAGCATGCTTTTTAAAACACCATCACTGAAGCCGGAGAATGCACCTTTTCTTTGACTGGCCTTGCGGGCGGGGACTAAGAAATTGTCGTAACGTTTCGATTCCTTCTCCTCGCCACCGAAAGACACCACTGTGCGTATGCCATTCAAGACCTCTTCAACCAAATTACCAGCACTGGCATACGAATCCTGCTCTTTGGTGGTTAATTTACTTTGGAACTAGAAATAAATCAAATCAGAAATCTGTGTTGTGCTTTCTCCGATTTTTAATATTTTACCCTGGCCACAAAATAGTTCATAACAATGACAATTGGTATATAAACACTAACCGCCAAGGTTAGTTTCCAGCCATAGCCAAATGATATGCCAACTGTTATGAGAAATCCAATTATTAGATATAGGAAGTGACCGACTTTTTCGGATATGCCATCGCGAATTTTTTCTACATCACTACAAAATAGAAATGTAAAGATTTAGATAGGACTTCTGCAAGGGGAATGTTCAAAATATGAGTATCTTTCTGGGGGTTTCAACAAAAATAACCTCGAACATGAGTTTTGTTTCTTTAACTTACTCAGTCATATTTTGTGCAAAGTTTTGTTTCGATGCCAAGTCGTGCCAACCAATATCCTGCCTCATTACCGACTGGAATAATTTCATGCGCATCCGTGTCACCTGACGCAGTGCCACAATATTGAAGATATCCACCGAAAATATACCCGATATGAGCATAACCAATGAGGCTAGAGTAAGTAGAATGCCATAGGAAATAGAGTCGTTGTATAATTCTTCATTGTTTACTTCGACAGAGGCATTTGTCCTAAAACGGAATAGAGATTAGTGTAAAGAAATTCCCACTAAAGTAAGAAGCTAAGTACTTACAGTGATTTACCACCTCCAAACAGAGGTAAGGCATATACCTTTGAACTGGTTCCAATGCGATAGGTTCGATCGACCAACATAGCTGTAAACTCACTATAGATAATAACAACGGCGGGCAGAGTTAACGCCTTTATCGTTGACATCACAACGCCAATAAGGAGCAGAAATATTTCCCATTTCGTCGAGAAACGAAAAAGTTTGAAAAATCCAACGGGTTTTGTTGGTTCCAGACCCTCAGCCATTGGCATATCCACCGAGGATTTTGATACTGAGGAATCCTCGCGGTCCATTATGGAGCTAAATTGAGAGGGTCCAAAGGGGAATATTGTTAATAAAGAAAAAAAGAGGGCATAAATACCCCACGATGCGGAAAATTTAAAATTTGAAAAATAAATGAATTCTACGTCAGAACTTGACCTATATCGAAAAATTGTTGGTGAGGAGTTTTGTTAGATCCAAAAACCCAAATTACAGTCAATTGGTAGACAAATTTAGCGGAACCGTAACATGGTCCAAATTGTAATTTACTCAAAGACAAAAATTCTGTAAAGATGTAAATGGTGCACTTTTCAATAATATATATTTACTTGGATATATATAAAATTGAATGATAGGTACAAAATTGGTACCGATAGACAACATTAAGCTTATAGAAACAAATATGTAGGTTATCGCTGGTTCTCCTATAGGTGGAATACCTTGGTTGGGTTTTATATGAATATAGTAGCTACTCAAAATAGAATATCTTTAAAGATTTATATTAAAATTTGTATTTTTAGAGAGACGCCCTTAAAAAATCTATTTACAGATAGGATACCACAATAATTCTTCTTTGGTTACAATACTATTAGAATAGATTCAAAACCTTAAACATGTCTTCGATAGGTGATCTTGAGTTCAATGGGATTTGTACGAGTGTTGATAGAATACTATTAGTGTGTTCTTTTAATTTCTGGGCAGGAAACCCAGCCTGCAGGTGGTAGTCTTTAGATGGAAGACATCGAAAGTTTAATGGTTCTTAATAACTGATTCATGCACTCACACACTAGATATAATATCGTAGTTGACGTTATATTTTTGTTGTTGGTTTTTCTACTTTGTTTTAAAATTACATTTCAATTTCATAACTTTTCAATGGACATCAAATGTAATCAACCATTCACTCACACCATTTCGATGGGGGTTAATTTAATTAAACTTTTATGGCCATAAATGACTTAGTTTGAGGAATACCGTCAGCGTTTGCGACTACGAGTATACATGTCTACAGTCGGCTTTTGTCATAGAATTTCATTTCATATTTGGTTGGGCATCATTTCTTCTTGACCTTTGGGATCAATAGCATGATCGTTTTTATTCTAGCAGGAAAATAAATTTATTTGTTTCAAAATTTATATTTTTCAAAGTGATCACTGGAACTGCCAAACATGTTTCTTCGTTAAGCATTTTCATATTAAACGGAAGCGTAAGTGATATATACTTTTTATTTTTTTTTTAAATTAACCGTATAGTTAGTTCAAACACTTTTAATATCTCGAAAGTTTTTAGAATATTTTATTATGCGAACATTTTTGGATCTTTTGGATCACCACTACACTAATTTCATTAGAACCACACACTGATAGATATTACATAACTAATCAATAGCAGTAAAAGGAATTAATAAAACATGTATCTATTTTTATTTGTATTTCTGTAATTTATATGCATTTTTATTTATATTATTTGCAAATATTTACTTTAAGGATTCTGTTGTTTAGAACGATGTAATGATTTATTTTAATTTATTTTCCTCGCATATCCTTCAATTATTGCAATATTTATTCGCAAAAAATGTTCAATTTTATTCCAGAATATCTTCTTCGTTTTTAGTTTATCACGACACGACACCCAAACACCAACTGAGAGCCTGTCCCGAACTGATCACGTTTAAATGATGACATGCCAAGCCAACTGGCCGACCAACCAGCAATTGTCTTACGCTTTCAATTGATTTGCATCCATTTCTAAATTAATGCCACAATCGAGCCCACGCCGAAGAGAGTCGGTTAAGAGAAATATTTGCTTTTGGGAGTAGCATCTTCCTATGGGTTGCCCAATGTTGTATGTTCTATATACGTTTATCAGATACTGTAGAGTGTCATTCGATTAACTTTGATTGTTCATATCATAGTTCAAATGACAAATTGACCCGAAGCTTGTCTTCAATGTTTCTTGTTGTTGTTGTAGCAGCCCTATTGCTTTTACACAATGGGCTGAGGTGACAGACGTTGGCCGAGTAAGACTCGGGTCGTTTCGGATCGTAGACCCCTCTGTCGTGGAAACGTTTTTTCAATGTTTGTTGCCACATTTGTTGTCGGCTATTGTTTGCAATTGTTTGTTCGTTTGAGCAATCGATAAAAAATTGAACAAGTGCGAATAGCATTCCATTCCTAACACCTAGTAAAAAATTAAGTATGGTCGAGTCGACGTATATTTACCCTATACCATAGATGGCTTGGAAAAGACAACCACTCGCTCCAAAAATATGTATTTGCTACAGAATTTTATTACATAATAAACGGAGGTGGCAGTTTTTGACCGCAGAAGCTACAATGTTAGCATGACTCTTTCTTGACTTTGTAATTTTCAGCGAAGCCCTTTGTTTCTCATAATGATCCGAAGCCAAGTCTTTCGGTACCATACATTCCAAATACTTATCTCGAAGTAAAACATAATGTTCTTCGTGCATTTCATCAACAATCATATAGCCATCCTGTAATCGAATCACATCAAATGTTTATAAGTACAAAGTCGCACACGTGTTTTTTTCGAGATTTATCTGCCATTCAAATTCCGAAAGGTATGTTCGTTCGGCATGAATACGAGTGAACAGGTAATTTTTGAGGCTCAATAATAAGTAAAAGTATATTCTTTAATTTTTTGTGTTACAAATCTTGTAATATTTTACAATTACAAGATTTGGGATAAGATGCTTGCGGATACGTTCGAATGTACTGAGATACAATAATCAAAACAAATCGAATGTTAAAATAAAACACGACTATAGCATTCAAAAATTTGGCAATGCATTCGTGTAGGGTATAATAACCGTACATTTGTCTACATCGAAATAGTGCGTACTCAGGTTGAGTTCTAATTAATTGTTCATAATAAATATTAAATAATGAAACAAAATATGATTTCGGTTCTCTTTCCTTGACCTTTCTAGTGAATAAAAATAATAAATATCAAATAATGTTTTCTTGGTAACTATTAAGTGCACTCGAACTTGTCATTTGTTTGATTCTGGAAGACCAATAACACAGACAAGAGTTTCTATATATATATATATATATATGATAAGTTCCAGCAACTGCAAGACATTGCTTTCGACGTATTAATAGAGATGGTATTTACCGGGTAAATACCCAAGGGGTGGGTAAATACCGGGTAAATACCCATTTGCGGGTATTTATTTGGGTACAAATAAAGAACACTCTGTGCCAAATTACAGCCAATTTGGTTGTAAAATGTGTCTAATAGGCAAAAAATACCTTAAATCGGGAGATACGGTTATATGGGGGCTATATCAAAACTTGGACCCCATTATGGATTTCTATATTTGCTTTGTCATTAGAAACATGTGTGCAAAATTTTGGCCGCCTATGTCAAGTGGTTCGGCAGTTAGTGAGTTTATACCCAATTTTTGGGTAAATACTCAAAATAGGGGTACCTTTGTATGGGGGCTACCAGTAAACGTGGACCTTCATACATAAAAATAGGGGTACCTTTGTATAGGGGCTACCAGTAAACGTGGACCTACATACATAAAATTTTGCATGGACATTTTGTACTCAAAAAGAATACTCTGTGCAAAATTACAGCCAATTTGGTTGTAAAATGTGTCTAATAGACAAAAAATACCTTAAATCGGGAGATACGGTTATATGGGGGCTATATAAAAACTTGGACCCAGGGACCTCATGTTGGATTTCTATATTTGCTTTGACATTAGAAACATGTGTGCAAAATTTTGGCCGTCTATGTCAAGTGGTTCGGCAGTTAATGAGTTTATACCAAATTTTTGGGATATTTACCCAAGTTTTTACCCACGTCTTTAAAGTATCGTAAAACTATTCATTCTAAATCGATTTGATAACAGAAACCCGGAAATAGGGTGCAAGATGTTGTATTACCGATTCAATATAGTAAATACCCAAATAAATACCCACAAATGGGTATTTACCCAATTTACCGGGTATTTACCCAATTTACCGGGTATTTACCCTTTGGGTATTTACCCACTGCCCATCTCTACGTATTAACCCTTTGCGGACGGAGACGCTCGACGGGCGAGCGTCGCTGTGGACGACAGGTATTGGAGCGTGCAGTAAAGAAAATTTTCACGTCGCATATTTGCGTTTTACAAATTAGGCTTTATTCAAATAAATTATTCAAAAAATCGTAAAAATTATAAACAAACAAATTTACTAACAAATAACTTTTTTTATGAAAATCTAACAAAACCATAAACAAACAAATGTAGTCGTGTTTACATATTATACGTTTTATATTGTTCCTTTGTGTGGTATCGCTCAAAACAATCACCTATGTGCAAGGTCGGCTTAGCTGAACAAGTAGCACAATAGTACATCGATTCTCTCCTTCCATGCTTTACCTTCCGATTCGAGCATACGACACAATCTTTGCTTCTTCCTGTCTCGTTTCGCCGAATAATATGTAGAAGGCCGTTGAGCCTTTCCGCTGTTGTGGAAGTCGAAGGAGGCTTGGGATCAGCTCTGGCAGTGACACTGAAATACTGACTCTACAAACTGAAATTCGTTCTGACCCTACCATGGTCTTGCATCGTAAGTTTACATTATACGAAAGATAAGACTTCATCGTTCAAAAGTCTCTAACAAGATCTAAGGTCACCAAGATAGCAATCGAAATCGGAAAACAGCTGTTTTTTCTCAAGTCTAATGTCAAAAATTTCGACTTTGTTTACGTTTTCATAATGGAAGTCAATTCACAATAATGCATTTTGACAGCAAACTTGAGAGGTATCGATAATCAGCTGGTCTCCCTTGGTGACCTTATTTATAGGCCATGGTCTCTAATTTCATTGAGAGGCCACTTGACGTCTTAGGCTAGTATACCCATGTGTATCTTATCGCCTACGACGGCAGACGTACGCTAGCCGCAGCGCGAGAGTTGGGCGGATATATCCGACACTCGTCCGCAACGGTAAAAAGGCTTGGGCGGATATATCCGCCGCTCGTCCGCAACGGTAAAAAGGCTTGGGCGGATATATCCGCCGCTCGTCCGCAAAGGGTTAAAGTACAGGATCATATCAATAAATGAACTGAAGCTACTGCATAATCATAGAGACATAAGCGATTATTTCTAATCTTGAGAGATAAACGTATCAACGTTAATGTCTCTCGTAGTTCATTTGAATCTAACAATAGTTTAGAGTCAGAAGAACACGCATTGACACTTACATTTTCGGAATTGAAAAATCTTATCAAAGGCTCATTGTCTTTTCTTTCTATGTTTTCAAATGATATACAAGAATGTAAATAATTTACGATAAAAACAAATATTTATTTCTCTTAAAGTAAATAAAATACAACTTATTTGATAAATATTTTACATGGATACATTTAGTAAAATTATGATACAAGGCCAATTTACAAAGATAACAAATTATGCTGTAAAATTAATTATAATAACGAGATTCTAAAAAAAAATAAAAATTCAAATTATAGGCATTCTTGGACATTTTTAAAGCACTGTGCCGGCATTCTTTCAGACAAAAAATAAAATGTCCATGAAAACAACAACTTTTTTCTGCTAACTATATTTAAACTAGATTAATCTTATCTTCTTGTTTTTAATTAAATATAAAAAATCCTTTTTAAGGATTATTTTGACTAACACATACATACATATTATGTTTGGAATTATGTAAATCGTATATTAGAGTAGTAGTAATAGTAGGTCAATAAAATAATTTAAGATTTTTCACAACCTTTGTTTTACTAATTCTGACACACAAAATTGACATACTTAGAATAATAGTTTACGGGACGGATCCATTATGCTTTGTAATACATTTATACATATACTTCGCCGGTCTTCTGTTCCGGCGGACGTTTGGCTAATGTCGATGGCGCTGATGTTGCAATCGAGGATATTTTTTCCTTAGCCGCGGTTATAGTGCTGGTGTTGGCACTGTTGACTGTGTGTGTTGCCGTGGCACTATCTGTTATGTCCTTGACATCAGGAGCACCTTCAGATCGCACCGAGTTTCGGCGTTCCAATAGATATGAGTCACTGATATTAAGATTAAGATTGGCATTGAAGCTATTGTTACGGGAAATGTTGGTGCCGCCGTTGTTTAGCGGTTTTAGGGATAGCAGAGCGGTGCCACCATTATTTTCGAGTTTATCATTGAAATTTAATTCAGTTATGGACACAGCGGATGGTGAACGTTGTATGGAAAGGGATACCGGAATTGTGGTAATAACTTCATTCGAATCAAAAGCCGACGCAGTGGTCGTAATTGTTGGAATTTGTGTGGATGTAATTGGCAAAATGCTTAGAGTACCCGTTGTATCTGTGGCACTTGTGGTGACGGTAAAGGGAAACGAGAGAGTTGTAATGTTCGTTGTAACCGGCATTGCTGAACAGAGAGAGAGAGAGAGAGAGAAGGAGAGGAAATGTGAATAATGATAATGTTTTCAGAATTTTATTGGTTTACTCACTTGAAGCCAAATTGCTTGGTAATACTGCCTGGGCCAATGCCGCCGTCTGGGGATGTCCTGGAATTAAAGTATTATTCGACGATGAACTATCCATTTCCTTGATGGGTGATAGCAGGAGGGTGCCCAAAACCTGACCATCTAGATTGTTATTCGTGGTGCTTGCATAAGGATACATTGTGGTTTGTGTACTCAATTGTGGTGTCATAAGAACAGCCGTGTTTGCACTGTTTGTGGTGGCTGTGGTATTGGTTGTATTTATAGTGGAGGCTATCAAATTGTGCAGATTAAAAAAACATACAAAATAAAATAATAAATGAATATGTTGTTGTTAATGAGTGCTACAGATTAGTGCTAAAAATACATAGGATGGAAAAATTACCATTCACATCTTTGTCAATGTTAGGTGGTTCCTTGGTAACATCGGGAGTAGGTATACGAGGACGGGATTTTGAAGTGTTGACATTCAAACCATTTAGACGAGAATCTACATAGATAAGGTTCGAAAAAGATCAAAACCAAAAAAACAAAAGGACAGTTTGAAATGGAATTAAAAAAAAAATAAAATAAGAAAAGGTGAAATGAAATAAAGATAGTAATCAGCGAAAAGAGGCACTCTCTGTTTAAATAGATATGGGAAAATGCTCTAAAATAACATTTGAATGCATTTTTTTTAAATTTAGATATACGTTGTTTGATAGCTGATATTAAGATTTTTGGCTGTGCATAAAAATCATAGTCAATTCCAAACAGAAAATAATCCTAATTATTATTTGGCATTAAAAAAATTTTATCCTTGTTAAAATCCTTCTCAAAAAATCAGAAACTTCTCTTGACACTAGAAATCTTGAAGCATGTTCTCAGATGTTGGAGATATGCCAAAATATGTTCTAATAGTGTATTAGTATTTTCATATTTACGCACTCAAAATTTACTTTCCGCGAATTTCAATGGCGGTTCAAAAGGACTAAACACATGTCAAAGACCATAATTGCACAACTTAAATTTCATCCGGTTTTACTTCCTGAACTAAATTTTATAAATTAATATATTGAACAAATTTCAGCTTTGAACTGTTTATAATAATTGTCTTATATCATATTCCCTTCTTTGGGTTGTCTTTCCATGTCTTGTTGAGGACATTCATCCCTGACTACTGTAATTCTTGCAAATACCAAATGTCATCACATAAAATAAAAATGATAGGTTTGAAATGAAATTGTAAATCTTACACCTTTTTCCGAACACCAACTAAGATAACTTCAAATACCTTTATCCAACTATGGATATTTTCAAAACAAATCTGCTACAAAAACAAAAAGAAAAAACGCATTGACTCACTTTGCTTTATTAGCTGCCTTTGGGCTCGCAATGATTTTCGATGTACAAATTTATCATAAAGGCTAGGCTTCGGCTGCAGTTGTTGTTGCTGTTGCAATTGCTGCTGTTGTTGCTGCTGTACTATGGTCATGGGTAGGCCAGATTCTGGACTTGAGTATACCGAATTCAAGCGATTACGATTGAATGCCATGCCACCCGATGAATAGGCTGTCGATTGGCTACGCATAGAACCCATGCGTGACAATTGGCGGACAAGCCAATTATTTTTCCGTCTTTCAGCCATGGGAGTATCAACGCTTTCCTATAAATAAAATAAACAATTATATTTTTCTCTTTGTACTAATATTACACGCACACACGCTACTTACATAGTCAGCATAAACATCGTCGGCAATGCGTTTACCACCACCGGGTACAATGTTGGCATACATGGCATCCTCTTTCTTGACTTTGTAATTTTCGGCGGAGCCCTTTGGTTCATCCTTGCGATAATGTTCCGAAGCCACGGTATAGGGCAAGTCTTTTGGCACCACACATTCCCAATACTGATCTCGAAGTAATTCAGGATGTTCTTCGTGCATTTCATCAACAATCATATAGGCAGCCTGTAAACGAATCACATTCAATGTTCACAATTACAAGTGTGTACATGTGTTTATTTCGAGATTTATCTGCCGTTAATATTCCGAAATGTATGTTCATTCGACATGAATACGAGTGAACAGGTACTTTTAGTCTTGCCATTGTAGCAAAAATATAAAGAAAAAATACCGAAACCCGCATGTGTTTGAGTATAAAGCCGGTACACCGGCTATGTCATGTTATTGTCACTTTAATAACAATAATAATTGGTTATTATTATTTGACTGTTGTTGTTTTTTTTTTTGCGTATTCCAAAAAAACCTTCAGAAATATTAAAATCCATCTATATACAGTCAAGAACAGCCGAATATTGTTTTTGGCGGAATTAAATAAATAAACGCTGTGGATAACCCAACCTATAATTTTGACTCGTTGCGAATAGACGGACAACAAAAACGATATGCGGTAGAATGAACGCGTAAAGTTGTCCTTCACAGTTTTGAAACTGTGTTTATTGTTGTGATATGTCAAAGTGTCGATAAGTGTGTGTTGTTTGTTGAACGTGCGTAATCAATATATTTTAATATTTCTCAAATGTTTGTTATTCAAGCTGCAGTGTCATTAGGTGTACTTCGTGGGTTGTCTTTGAATTGACGAAAAAAAATCATAAATTCTATTATTCTAGACAAATGAGAAGATAAAATATGACACTTGTTCTAATATTATAGAAATTAATTTTTATACCATCCTTCAAATGCTACTTGATTCACACTCTTATGGACCTTGAGCAAAAATAGCGACCTGATTCGAAGACAAATGGAAAACCTGGGTGGTTGTTTACTTTTACACGTCGCCCTGATAACCCTATATTGTCTAGGACTAAAATTTTCAATTAAATACCTTTAGAAAATAATTAAAAAGTTTAACCCATTCGTAAGCTATAATGAAATTACTATTATTTTTTTTGTGTGGTTTGCCATTTAAACATTGATTTTAATATAAATCCCTTTAAATACATATATACATCTAGCTCAGATCCCTATAAACTAATTAAAACAAAAACTTAATAGTTCATACGGATTTAATTAGTTACAGCGTTAAATTTAATTTTCATCAATTATGAGTGAAAACAAAAAATGGCACAAATGTACCCAGTTATTGACCATAGGGTTAATTAGCTTGACCTGTCCTGTTGTCAACAACATAATTCTATATTCAGAAATATTTCGTATACAATCGACCCAGTTACAATTTTGTTACATAACTCTTGATCTTGGTTGACACATAACCTGAATTAAGTTCTGCTGACAGTTACAACATCATTTATTGCCAAGATGTTGGGCAGTTGTAAAGGAGATCATTGCAATAAATCCGTATCGCTGAACAGAGTTAGTGGTGACCGGTTAACCAAATTGTGGAGAAAAAATGTTGTAAAAAGCGTAGCCATTAACCTGTAAATTGTCATTGCTGTTAAGATAAACAAAGATGGCTGGTTTTCTGTTGCTGCTTCATCAAAGTGGCACGTGCTAAAAATAAACTTGAAGCGAAAACAAAAACACAAAAATTGGTAAAGACCAGCAATTCAACATCAACAACAATAAATAATCTGTTTTTACTCAGAAAACAACTTGGTTAAGACCAAACGAAAAAAAAACTGCGATCAGGCAGTCAACCACCAGCCAAACTGGTTTACTAATCGTGATTTAAGTCAAGCGAACATTTTTTGACCAATAAACTTGTAAGACGTTTAAATGAGACAAAAAAATGCCACACAATGATGTGCATACAATATATTATTTCAAATAAATGAATTTAAGGTTATTGTAAAATATATATGTATTTTTATAATTTCCATAATATGACTTTTTAGAGGGATGTCAAATTAATAATACTTTGCTACCACAAATTACAAACAAAGAATATACATGTTTTTAGGGGTCGACCCAATTTTCCGATTGCTGTAAGTGTACTTCTTTATACTTCTTTATTATATTAATTAATTTTGTCATCGAATTTAAATTAATATTTTTATTATTATTATTTACATTATTATTTTTATTCCCATGTGAATTTTACGCCCATTTCCTTTGTATAATTACAATTTTATAGTTTTTGATTTTGGTTTAAAAATTAATAAAAATTACAAATAAAAACCAAAAGCTACGACAATTTCATTAACAGCGTAATTATGCATTATACAACAATGCCGATGGCAATTAATGTGAACACAGGGACTGCCCAGTTCGGGCTAGGCCAAAAACGTATTCATCATCTGTCTATTCTACGCGTACTTACCTTAATGTGTCTGTCAATTAACCAGTTGAGTTCAATATCATCGTCATCTTCGCCGAACGGATTGATGAGCACCTCAGCAACTTTTAACCAGCCGACATAGAAAACAAACTAAAACCGACAACAAAACGAGCAAAACAAAAAAACATACATTAAAATTATATAAAATAAGCTATAAAAAATATTGATGTATGATATGTATATTTTTGTGAATAAAAATGTGATTTATGTCTGTCGTATTTATGGTGGCATAACTGACATCGAACTGTGTTGCCGCTTTTGTTGTTAAGAAACACTTAAAACCGTCATTCAGTTTAGTTGCTAAATTAAATTTTATTTATAAATACATTTTCATTAACGGGGGCGTACAATTTACAACACACACACTCACACATTTCTACTCAAAAAAGGTTGCCATATAAGGTTAACCCACGTGTGTGTGGACCATATATGGAAGATGTTGACACATTTTCAGTTTTTTTTGGAAACCACTTGGGGTTATTTACAGGCTTTCTTCTTTCTGTTTCAAGTATTCGAAATTTATTTGGGTGTCTTAATTGGAGTTATAACAAAATTGATAAAATAAATTCTTTGTATAGCAAGGTAGTAAATGAGAATTTAAGTCATATTTTATAGTATAGTATTTATTCTTCTAAATGTAGTACAAGTTAATGCTATACTCTTTGTGCAAAATAAGGATTCGCAATGTTCAAGATATTTAATCTATTCGTGGCAAATGTTCAAATTCAGTACCATTTAGAAGTTTTCGTACACGTAGTATAGTACGAAAAAATTTCAGCTGGATGTTAATTATCTGCTTTACATCAACCTTCAAAACTATACCAATCACTATTTACGTATATTCCACAAAATACGAATACTTAATTTAAAAATAATATATTTCAAAATGTTGCATTTTATTTTTATATATATTTTATATTTAAATCTCTTCACATCGAGGTCTAACACATGACTAAACTAAATTAACTGCATTATTTTTTTGTTAAACTCAATAAATACATATTAATAAATGCTATAGTTATTATTTCAATTCCAACACCTTTATTTTGTGCAAAAAACAACAATCCGCATAATTTATTCACTGATGGTGACGATACAACTTGCATTTGTATGCATACATTAAATTCAAGCATATTATATAATTATTAGACTCGACCAGATATACACCTGAGTATGTGAGTGTGTTTCCATGTGTATACAGAAATATTATTTATGCTAATATGTTAATTGTACTATTCGACTATCCGTGGCTAGTTGTCATAAAACAATATTGAGCTTGGTTGGCAATGTCGCGGTGTTTGGTTTACAGAAAAAAAACCGCGAACAAATTTTATATTATTAGTTACTTTGCTGTCAGTGTGGTTGTTGCTGTTGTTGTTACATGAAAGTAAATCATAATACATACTGACGACATTTGTTCGACGTATCAAGTGTGCCAAACAAGAAATTGGAATTTAAATTGTGTTGCTTTTGTAAAGGTTTCATTCAATATTTGTTTTGTTTTCATTTTTTTTTTTTTGATACGGCATTGCTGTGGTAAAGTTGCGGTTGCAGCAACAAATACAACAACCGTATGCCGTTATTAATTTGTATGTATGTTTGTATGTAAATTTCTGTATTCAATTACCTGTAATGCAGTGAAGAGGGGGAAATACAAATCTTTATCTTCTTGGCCGGTGTGATCGGGCAACATTTGACGACCCACTAAGGCGGCAATGAAATAAGTGTACAATACTAAGGTTACCACCTGTAATAAAGAAACAAACAAATTGAAACCGATGCCGAAGCCGGATCGAAAACAAACAAAGTGTATTATTAACTTAATTTTTAAATGGAAAATTTTCGATTTCGTTAACAATATAAATTGTGTCAATAGACTAAGAAAACCTTGATTACGAATATATTCAATTTATGTCGTAGTGACTTCCTGAACATATTTTTTGTTTTGGTTCAATTGATTTCAGTTCAGTTCTCTTGTATTTTGCTGCATTGTTTGAATACACTCGAGAAGTTTAACTTATGGTGACATTAATTCGAAAAAAGTAGTGGCAATTCATTTAATTTCAAGAAGTTCACTGACACAAAATGCCAATCGATCATTCGATTTTTTGTTTGGCTCACCTGCGTATAGACCAATGGCACACAAACCGTATCGTAGCCAATTAAACCACCCAATCTTCGACGTATATCGGATAGTTCCACTAGTATAGTTTGTACAATGTGATCGGAACTGATGAGGTTCTCTTTGCGGGCTCGATTTATAATATTTGTTGCCCAGACCAGGGGCATCCAATATTTGGACATGGGGCTCTTTTGATTTAGCGATTCGAAAATTTTCATTTCAGACTCGTGCATGAGACCAGCATCCACGAGATGTTGGGTGGTGGGGAAACGACGTTTGACTCTCAACGAAATGCGTTGCAGTGTAATGACATAGGCCAGTACCATGTAACGCATAATATTGCGGCGCATTAAACGACCTGTTTCGTTCTGCAAGGAAAATATTGAAATTTAAATACATGTTACAAAATAATATATGTTCGCGTATAAATATGTAAGAGGACAGGCAATCCGAATACATATACGATTTGTTCGACTTACATTTACGCCTCCATTCGAATTTGGTATGGCTGCACTTATAAATAATGCCAGCGTATCTGGCCATGGCAAGAGTCTGTACTGTTCCCACCATCTTTTCACCACCAGACTAACGTAGAAACCCAAAACAAAGGACATGGGTATACTTTCACCCTGTTGTCCAAAATATACACGAATCTTATGAAATATTCTGTAATTAGAATAAAATGTTTCAAATTATTTACTCTATAATAATTAATCGACGTTTACTTACTTTTGTTGATATTCGGTAAAAACAAATCTATATAAAAAATTTATTGTATAATATAAACATAAATATGCGATTAATTCACGCCAAACTAATTTGTAGACACTGCCACGCCATCTGTAAATGGAAAAGAGAAAATAGGTTTAAAACGATTTTAAATTAAAGAAAAATCATTTATTTCTAGAAATTTATTAACTACTATTAATTTTAAATTCAAATTAATTAATAATTTGATTTGAAATTAACTACAATTAAACTTGCAATATTAATTACATTTAAAATGGAAATTAATTACAAAAAACGAATTAATTTTTTAATATTAAATACATAAAACACTAGCTTGCATATACATTGTAGTGGATTCATATTTCATGTATACAAATTTATTTTTTGATATTAATTCCAATTCTGTATTGCCCGTGTGTTACTTAGAATTTTTCAATTCGCAACTTTAAGTAAAAATTATATCAATATATACATATATATATATATATTATATAAAACTTATATCAATTATATACATTTATAGGGATTTTCAGGCACATGAACAATATCGCAAAAACTATTACTGTATTTGGAGGATATGATTTTAAGCATTAGTTTGGGAAGAAATAAATCCATCATCGTTGAAAGGGTGACATTTCGCAGTAAAAACAATTATTTTGTTGTTTTTTGTTTGGTGCATTCAGTTGTGAGTTACAGGGTGTTAAAAATGGATGTGAACAAAGAGAAAATTTACAGTTTTTCTTTAACAAAGGCGAAATTGCAAGCCAAGCAGCTAAAATTGTGAATGGTGTTTATGGTTCCGATACTGTAACAGCCAATTTTGTGCAATTTTGGTTTCGTAGATTCCATTTAGGAATTTTTGATGTTAAAGATGCACCTCGCACAGGTAGGCTGGTCATCGAAAATGTCGGTAAAATCGGAGAAATGATCGAAATTGACCGGCATGTTAGCAGTCGTAACATCGTCCAGGAGCTAAAACTCGACCATAAAACTGTTTTGAATCATTTACAATTGACCAGAACTGGCCAACAGGTGTCGTATTCCACCTGGACAACGCTAGGCCACACACATCTACAGTGACTCGCCAAAAACTTCGCAAGCTTGGTTGGAAAGTTTCAATGCATCCGGCATACAGTCCGACCTTGGCGCCAAGCGATTATCATATTTTTCTTGCATTACAAAATTTCTTTAATGTCACAAAATTGGTATCTAGGAGAGATTGTGAAAATCGACTACTAGAGTTTTTTGCAAATAGAGAGCAGGACTTCTAAGATAGAGCCATTATGAAGTTTCCTTTAAAATAGCAACAAATCATGCAACAAAACGGTACATTCCGAAGAATGTTAAATAGGACTATAGGACTTAGCTCATATACTATAGGAACTATGGGACTTAGTTCATATAAAAATAATGGATTTATTTGTCCCTAACCTAATGTAACGCCATTTAATTAAAAACATTGTTTTTAAGATTTCTTTTCAATAAAGATTCCATATTTATAAGTATAAATATATGTTTTTGCAACAAAACTTAGTTTTGTTAGAAAATTCTACCCTCTTAATAACCTACACAAATTGGAGGTAAAGATGATGGATGACAGATGTTTGAAATGTTTACATTTCAAAAGTTGTCATTTGTAAATAAAAATCAACAACTTTTCTATTAAGTCATTATTTAAAAAAAACACACACACACACACGCACACAAACAAATGTAACACCTATTTTAACATTTTAATATCACCTAATATCTTTATCTAGATGTGTGTTTTTACAATGTTTGTAATATAATATTTATTTTTGAATATTTGTTAATAACTCCATTAGTGTCGTTTACCCATGTTGAAATTAGTCATTTTTTTTGTGATTTTCACAATGTTTGCTCAGTTCCGAGGAAGTTCATTACCGCGAATAACAATTGCTAAACATATTTTTTAGCATTCATTTTGTGTTTCTCTTTTCTGTATTGTTTTTATCACGCTTTGGCTAAAGAACAATGGGTTGTTGCATTTGTTTAAAACTGAACAAAAAAAAAAATATTCCAAATTATATTATCCTCAGAAAGATTGTGGAAAAATTCTGTGTAATTAATGCGACGAGCCGAACGGTATGACGTTAAACACGAAATGAAAACGTTGTGCAGTCTGGATAATAATGAAGCCCTCTAGTTGAGTCTGTGTGACTGACTGACTGAATCATCTCCCCAATGTTTAATTGTTTGCCAAAATAAGTGGCCAGTGGCTGGCATCGTGATCATGTAGATAAACCCTAATGGCTAATTTGTCTTCTTAAATTACCAATTGTCTTTAAATGAATAACTAAATATGTAGTTGTGATAATATTCACAAGTTCCCGAGGAATTTTGTGTATTATTTTCATATTGAAGATGTATCTTTACCTGCATTTATTTCTATTTAATAAATAAATTGTTTTGCAAAGCAATGCAAGCAAGAAGTGAAGACGCAATAACCGCAACAACACCAAGAACAGAAACAGAAATGTAGTTAGCGTTAATTACAAAACTATTAATTGTTTTTGCTGTTGTACACAACAAAAAAGGCAAAACATTTCAGTTTTATTGTTTTTCTGCTGTTGTTGTTGATGTTGTTGCTGTGAGTGTTTTCTTCTATTTACAAAACTATTTGTTAATTTATTTAAAAAAATAATAAATTGAATTTCCTTCCTTCTTTCGCTCGATCGTTCGTTGGTTTCGTTTGTTTTGTTGGAGACAAACGGCATGCTTTACAACCAAATCAACTGCAGACATAAAAAAGTTCAATTTGCTCCATGTCAGAACGTGATTTAACGTTAGTTTCGATTTTGCGCCATTTGTTTTGCATTTTTGTTTTTGTTATTTTCGTCGGATGCCACAACGTAAATGGAAAACAATGAAAGGAAACATTCAACGGGATTTCATGTGTGAATGTGGATGAATATTTAAAAAATTAGAGACAAAAGTCAACGTCACCAATTAAAAATGTAAGTCAACATGATATTGATGCTCATGGCATTTCATATGGAAAATCGACAGAATTATAATTATACGACGTATACTTAATATACGCAAATCAATACAAGTATACGCAATGAGGGACATCTAATACGATATTTTACATGCAGATTTTGTGATAGGAATTTACGATTTTCAAAATTATAGTTATACCCTACACAACTATGTTGAGTTTGTAACGCCGCAAAATATTGATCCTAGACCCGTTTTTTAGGCATGTGTGTCCGTCCGTCTGTCCTTTATAATTTGTAAACAGGACACACTTATGGACCAATCATCAGGAATATTGCATGCGGGATGCATTCTGACCAAAGAAGAGCCCCTATTGTTTTTGGTAATAATTCGTTAATATTTAGGTGATGAATTGGACCAAAGGCTTTATTTTTGTCTGTTTTTCGAGTCGCACAAATAGTAAGCATGACTCTTTCAATGAAGATCGGTTAATATTTAGCGGGTCAAATGAACCCAGACTTTTGTATGAAAATTGCAACATTGAAGTTTATAGTATATCTATCCAAGGGAAGTGGTTGTCCTTTAAATTGATGTCCATTATACTGTTGCATGTACTCGGATGTGTTATACGAATACAGAGTTATACATAAATATTTAAAGGGGGATAGCTTTGGAGGTGGATATCTTTGAATGTTTACATGAAGTTCCGGCAATGGTCAGGGACGACGCCTAAAATTTACGATTATGTTGAGATGATACTTAGGGGATGCAATGGATCGAAAATATTATTTTTGTCAGATTTTCTAGTCGATACCGTGAAGGGGATCTGATAAAATACTTAGAACGGCTGTTTAAATTATTCCGAGGGCCAAATCAACCAAAACCTAAAGTGACCAAATTTTTATTTTATAACGTAAATATTCACCTCGGGAAAACCAGATTTGGAAAATATGCCAGGGTTGGAAAAATTGCACAACCTCAGAATATAGAACCGCATTAAGTTAGATTTTCGTTGTAGTTGTGTGGGGTATCATATGATCGGCCCCGTCCGACTATACTGCAGCAAACCAAGACGTTAGTGTGCTAGTCTTTTACTTTCAATTAAGACTCTCTTATTAAGATTTTTTCTATTTTGAAATTTGTATTAGTTTGCAAGTTATTGAGAAATGTTATCTGTCATCATTCTAGAAAAAGTCCTTAAAAACTGTAGACATAGTGTCAAAGAATGAAATATTGTACATCAAATTTCATTACAAGTCTCAAAATAAAATATATATTTATATTCAATAGTTTTTAAGAAATTATTCGAATCCGAATAGTGAGTTTTTTAGAATTATTAAAGTATAAAAGTCCTTCCAAAAATATTTATTTTAATTTCAATTTTCATGGTATGCATGCTTGAAAATTTTCTCGGAGAATTATTTTGGTTTTGGTAACTGATTGTGGAGGATATGAAATTCTTCCCAATGGAACTTATAACGCTTTTATAATTTGGACACCAGAAGAAATAGAAGAAATTAACATTAACATTTAGAAAGCATAGAGGTCGAAAGGTGATTTCTAACTCTTATTTTCGACTCATATTCAGATTATTTTATTTCTCAGAACAAATATTGCTATTTCTTTTTCGTTTTTAGAAATACGCATTTGCATAACTTGTTGCTAAGTTGATCACAAAACTATAATTCAAAAGATTTTTAAGGAAATCAGAAATACTTTCAATTTCGTTTCTTAATTTTGAAAATATAATTTATTCAACAAATTCCTGTTGTGTTTATAGATTCAAAGAATCTATGGAATGTTCAAATAATGTTAATTTTTTTTGGCATATACATAACGATATATCGGTCTTCGATGTTATTGTGTTTGATGGATACAACCATACATATGTGAACTTAATTATGATGTTATTATTTATTGCCTATTTTAATTAAATTAAATTTCAAGAAACCAACTTTGAAAATAAAGTTTGAAATAGATTTCTACTTAATTCATTCAATTTGGAAATTCTGAAATAGTTAAACCATTTTAAGCTATCAACAATACTTTATATTATTGACCATTACGTGAATTTTTTTATTGACCCTTAAATATTCAACAGATTTGTGTTCGAATTTCTTATTAGCCCTTAAGTTTCCATGAAATTCCGACAAACGCCATAACCTTTCCCATTAACCATATTGACGTCATTTCATGGCAATTTTTATTCCTTGAACATTCACTTCAGACGAAGGTGATGTAAGTGTTACATATCGATGCTGTAGCATCATTAAAAATTAAATAATATTTTTTGTCAGTATAAACACTTGAATATAAATAATTGTTTTGTTTTTAGTTTATTTTTTATTTTTTTGCATAATGATGAGCTGTTACGTTCCTTTTTCTCGAAAAAAAACTAATTGAAAATAAGTTATTATTGTTTTAAGCACTGCGTGTCGTTTAATTATTTCGAAGAGATTTTAACGAATTGATAGTGGCGAACAGACAACAAACACACACAAAAAACGCGATGCTTTTTTATACGAGGTGAAGGTGATTGTATAAATAAATATTTAAGTATTTAGCCAGCTTTAGATCTAATCTGGACAAATTTCATTTGTTTTAGCTGAACGTAAATCGAAATGTTGGGCAAATCAACGTCATGATACTCACTTCCATAAAATTTTCCAAAAGCAGCCAAAACTGCTGCCATTTGGCACTTCACCGGCATAGGAAACTGTCATGTTGCGGTTTTTGGTGGCACCGTTTTCGAAATTTTAAAAAGCCACAGCCTTCTGCCGCGACGAGAAATAGCACCTGGCAAATTTCTCAGCTCCGGATGGTTTCGAATTGTCGACAGTATGCACGTGTCATCTTAGAGACCAACAACAGCAAAAAACACAGACACACACAAAATATCACAAGACACTAAACGCTTTGGGCAAATTATCGAATGCAAAATTCAAAACGCGACAATAGCAAAACAAGAAAAAAACTTGTATTTTGTTGTTATGCCATTCCAAGACTGGTAACGAAGTTAGACGTCATTAATCTGCAATTATTCAATGGGTGTTTTGAGGGTGCGCACACTCTCTGCGTTGCTCACTTGAAGACGTTTTGTTTTTTATCGAGTGAATATATTGTTGTTGTTGTTGTTTATGTTATGTTATTGATTTGAATATTTTTCTTTTATTTAAAAAAAAATGACTTTGTTTTGTTTCACATCATCGTCCGTGCACACACATTCACATTCAGATTCACCAATTATTTCACAAAATATTAATTTGTATTTTTTTCGATGCGATTTGCTTAATGTTTGTTGTGTGTTTGGGGCAAAATTCCAACACGTTCCATTACACGGGAGTTGTTAACAACGACGGCGATGTTATTGTTGGTGTTGTTGTTATTTTCAGTATTCAGTATTTTTTTGATTGTTATTCTGTTATATTGTGGTTGTTTCTTTGTTTTGTTGTTTTGTATTTAAAATGCTGTGGTATTGCTGCTGCTGTTGTCGTGTTGTTGTTCTTTTAAACACCCAAACCACTGCAACTTGGTTTCAATTCACTTCAAACCAAACACACACACACACACACTGGAAACGGGGATTTTTATGCTGTGTTATGCGTTAGGTTCCGCTCGATACTGGTACTACCAGTCTGGCTATTGTTGAGTCTGCCGTTATTTCAGTTTCGGTTGGTTTTTAATTCTCTGAAATTAGAAAGAATTGAGTATTAATAATTTTTCTTAATAATATATATATATGTATGCACACATGTGTATTTACATATAAGAATCAAGACACAAAAATGGATATTTTAAAATGATTTAACAATTTTACAAATTAGCAGAAATTATTTAAAAATAATTAGAAAGATTCTCATGAAAAATATTTATATTTTGAGAAATGAATACGATACGAAATTAATTTGATAATTTTCAATCACGAGTTAGATTTTCTTGCAATACTAAAAATTATTTTTGGAAAAATTTTATTAATCCATATATATACTTATACGTTCGTAGGTGATTTAGGACGAATATTTCGAAATGTTTCAATGTTTCTGGAGAGCACCGAAACGTATGACACCAAAACAAAGTACAAGTCGTCATCATGATGGACCGAACTTTACAAAATGTGGGGTTCTGTTACTAATAGTTTAACCCTTCTTTGCATTGTAATGAAAATTTCGATCATATCAACGATTGCCCAATAAAAGTTTTAAAAAATATGTTAACTTTTCGGTGACCGAGCCCCGGTAAATTTATTAAAGTACATTGCATAAAAAAAACACTTAGGTGCAAAAAATAACACACGTTAATAACGGTAAATCGAGTTTAAATTCCGCAAGTGTCATTTTTTTTAAAATGGCGATAAGAGGCAATTTCGTCTTTTTATTTTTTGTTTTTAATTGATTTTCTTGTGATTAAAATTTTAAGAAAAGTATAAGAATGGTTTTTATTGCATGTTTCTGCTATTTTGAAATTGGTTTCTGAAAATTTTGGAAAAAATTCATGCAATAAAGGATATCAAAGTGCAAAAAATTATCATTTGAAAACTACTTTATGATGATCGGGCAATATTTAGTGTGTCAAATGGACAAATACTTTTGTGTAGATGATAATGTTAAAAGAAGTTGCCAGTGTATGAAATAATTACTATTGAAATCAATTATATTCACCCATGTTATAACAATTTTGGGAATGAAAAATGCCATTATTTTTAGAGGATGGAATTCGAATTTCTCACATTTTTTAGATGTACTCTACTATTTACAAAAGTCTATGTGTTCCAAAAAATATTTTTTGTTCAGATATGTTGTTCAATTAAGTTCTCATTTAAGGGGACCACCCCATTCTCGGGGTCAAAATTTTTGTTGACTTAATTCCAATCTACACTAATTCAAGAATGTCCCTGCAAAATTTCAAGTTAAAATCTCAAGAACTCTTGGTTTTTGGTAAAAAATCGGCGATTTTCCAAAAATATTTTTTCAAAGGTTCTCCATTTTGTTAATTTTAGAGCGAGGTCAATTATCCTAGTTCATACGAGAGCCAGACATGTATTCTTTCTAACACCGTTGGAATTTTCGGATTCCGATGCTCCAGTGAGGAGTTATTATGCCCGCCATCAAAAATAAAGACTTTTCTTTGATCACAAAAACAACAACAAAACAACAACAATATTTTTTTGTAAATTATTTTTCTTCCTTTTAAAATCTTCAAATATATATGTGCAAAGATACAAACCATAACAAGCATTGGTATTCATTTACCAGCCCATTTAAAATCTTAAAAAAAAAATCGCGAATGGGGCAGGGGGGGGTGGGGGGGGTGGGTTGTTCCCTTAATTTGATTTTTTCCAAGTAGTTCTACTCGTGTAGGATTTATCTGTTTTGCATTAAAAAAACACACACACAGTCGAAATTCTTTCAGTTTTTTTACTAAAAGTGTAGTCCTAATTGGCAATAATAGTTCTCAGTTGAGATATCGCTTAACAATTGCAACAATTAAAAAATCAATGAAAAATCAAAACTGAACACCAGGGTTCAATAAAACAATAAAAATATTTTCATCTCAGGAGAAGGTCTACTTGGTTTGTTTTGTTAGACTTTGTAATTATGGTGGCATCCACAGACTACGTTTCGTTCGTAGACAAAGAAAAATAAAATTAATTTTTCTGCAATTTGAATTAATTACTCCACACATAAAAATATCAACCTCTTTTTTATGGTGGTACTCATATTTAGATTAACATCATAATTAAAAAAATAAACAAATAAACTTTGAAATTCAACGACAAAAGATAAACTAAGTGGGTCAGTTTACAATTATTTACCTAAGAAAATTAGTTTAAAAAAATATGGTAAATACAAATAGATATGAATCATTGGAAATGCCATGTTTGGGGGACCACTCACTATCGCCAGTCAGTCACTCATTTCATGGAAAACGAAAGTACAAAGTAAACAGTTCACAAAAGAGAATAGGCAAAGACACCGGAGAAAGACAACAGCAGAACTGGAGACCAGTAGATAACAACAACTGAAATGAAGAAAGAGGGGGATATCAATGGGATCACTCAGATTTAACAAAACGACATGAACAACAGCAACAACGGTCTCACAACAAAATAAACGAAGCGAAAAGTCAACAGAATATCTGCCCACCTCCACCCCACAAATATGAACAGGTTATTTACACCAGCAGCATCGCGCTAGTCCCATCACATCATTAACATATCGAATGATTCATTGCCTTAAGCCATTAAAAAAGGTTGAAGTAATTAAATAATTTTAACAATGCTGAGCTATTCCGTGCCATTGTTACGAGTGAAACACACACTATCACACACAGGAAAAATGATTTTGGAATTAATTCCAATGGACTGAAGGTGTTGCCACCACTTATATGACAGCTTCTTCAACCTGTGGATTTAAAATAAAAAAAACACGAAAAGACGTTCCCAAATCTACTACAAAATGCCAGGTCCAGCAGTAATCCACACCTTTATTTCCAATACTATTAATTATCTTCAAGTTCATGGAGATGCGGCAACACACAAACAACAAAATGGTTTACCTTTGTTAAGTTCGTTTTTTCAAGTTTATGTTAATAATTTGAGTATTCTACTAAAATGTTAGGGTATCACTTGACCGATTCTCTAAATTAATTATATTGCACATATGTAGGTATGCAAACATTTGTGTTTCCTTTTGGAGAATAATAAGGAAATTGTTTTATAATTTTATAGCCATAAAAATATATTTTTAATTTAATTGTGAAATTGCGAAGGAGTGTCAAACTTAAGGTTAATGCCTTGATAATTTCAAATAAATAAATTAAAAATAAATTAAGGTGGATACAATACAATGCACTAATGTTGCATGATGTTGCAACTCGATGTTCCTTCGTTCCTATATACTATGGAGGACAACTTGGGATGCAGAAATTTGTGAAAAAAAACTTGCTTTGAATTCAAATATAGGCTAGAGGAAATATTCAAGAGAAGTACAAATAAGTAAAGATATGGGGCAATGTTTCTCAATTGTCATTATATAAATTGAAAATATTTTTGGAGCAATATTTACCACGATGTTCGTTTAGGATCCCTATTCATCGGAGGTATCTGTATGCAGCGAGTAGTTATTTATTAATAAATTAAATAAATCATAAATAATTCAAAAATATTTCCTGAAAACCTTTTTTTATTTGATATCTACAAATAAAATGTTATTTTTCTTCCCAAATTACTAACACAATATGACTAGATTTATAGTTACTGATATTTGTTTTGTTTTTTTTTAATACTTTATTTTAAATGAGATAACAGCAATTCGTTTTTGAAGCTTCGTATAATTAATATTAATTTATACCTTTTTTCTACAATAAAAGTAAAAACAAAAACTTGAAACAAAAAACATACAGAAACGAGATTTCAAAATTACAATTCTTAAGAAATTCAAGCATCTACAAAAACAAAACACACACACAAAGTTATAATCACACGTTGTGTGAAACCAGTTAAAAATTAAATGAAAAAAATCAACATTTCAAGATTATTTCGTTCATTATTTTTGTTAGGATTTTGTTGTGCTCTTGCTACGTGTCAGTTATGACATATCTCACTCAAAGTCAGATGCTAGTCTTTGAAAAGGGAAATAAATATTAATTTTTTTTTGTTAAATATTGTAATGGTTGACAATGGTTTAGCTACTTTGTAGTACATTTTTGTTAATGTCTTAATAATCACAACAACTGTAGAGGTTGACAATTTTTCAAACAAAACTTTAAAATTTTCCAA